ATTTGTTCAGGTTGTTTAATGCAGATCACTATAGTATAGTTAGTATTTATAGTATATATTATAATCTGAACAAAATTACATTATAATAAATATCATATGAAGAAAAATATTACATAAAAATACTAATGAAACAATAGCACATACATTTAGTTAATTTGTCTTTTATTTAATCAGTCTTATAATTTTTGCAGTTAATATAGAGTACAGTCAATTTACAGTAATTTGCAGCATTATATATATATATATATATATATATATATATATATATATATATATATATATATATATATATATATATATATATATATATATAAATATAGTTATATATACAGTTTACAGGAAGAAAATCGCATTAAATACAATATTATAGGACGTCTTCATCACGTGGTTAATTCTGACCAATGACGTTGTTCCACCCCACTGGCCACTAACACAATGTTATAATTGTAATATTTAGTTGTCATCACCTGGGTGATTTTATTTTTTTTTTGGTACAGCATAGGCCAAAAGCTTCATTGTCATTATCACAAGTGGAAGAAGGCTCTTTTGCGGCACAGAATATTGTTTTGAAAGAAATATCTGAAGTAAACTTATGTTTTTGCTAACATAAAAGGGGGATTAAGAAATAATCCTTATAACCCTAACCATAAATGTGTGTATGTGTTATATATGTATATATGTATGTATGTATATATGTATGTATATATATACATACATATATACAGTTGAAGTCAGAATTATTAACCCCCTTTTGATTTTTTTTCCCTTTTTTAAATATTTCCCAAATTATGTTTAACAGAGCAAGGAAATTTTCACTGTATGTCTGATAATATTTTTTCTTCTTGAGAAAGTCTTATTTGTTTTATTTCGGCTAGAATAAAAGCAGTTATTAATTATTTAAAAACTATTTTTGGGACACAATTATTTGCCCCTTTAAGCAATTTTTTTTTGATAGTCTACAGAACAAACCATCGTTATACAATAACTTGCCTAATTACCCTAACTTGCCTAGTTCACCTTATTAACCTAGTTAAGGCTTTAAATGTCACTTTAAGCTGTATAGAAGTGTCTTGAAAAATATCAAGTCAAATATTATTTACTGTCATCATGGCAAAGATAAAATAAAGAAGTTATTAGAGATGAGTTATTAAAACTATTATGCTTAGAAATGTGCTGAAACAATCTTCCCTCCATTAAACAGAAATTGGGGAAAAAATAAACAGGGGAGCTAATAATTCTGACTTCAACTGTATGTATATATATGTATATACACACACTTTATTTTCACTGTTTGTAAATAATTGTTCTTAACATTTTTGCTTTAAAACATTATAATACTGTTTGGATTTTCCCCCCATAATAATAAATTGTGAACATTGCAGTGTAAATTGCAATCCAGATGTTACAGAGAGAAATTGATGCAGCAACAGCAGAGCATATTAAGGGGATATAAAAAATCTTCATACATTGTATGTATATATATATTCACTATTTTAAAATACATTTTCTTTGCTGTGTGTTTTTATTGGTTATGATGCTGTTTGGATGTTTTATTTTTGCACAATAAATAAAATGTGATTTAAAAAGTGCAAACATTGTCTTTGTTAGAATTTACACGTGATTACAACGGTATAAAGACGTTCAGGTCCGACCGCACCGAATGGAAAGAAATTGTAAAAGGTGCAAAGGTGCAGTAAACTCAATTCCAAAGGGCTCAAAAATAGTCTTCTGGCGCCATCCCGTGGACACTCTGACAAGCTTTAGGTTTGAAATTAACAAATTTAATATAAAAAAAATATTTATAGGAAAACTGTTATTTATAATTACACCAAATAAATATGATAATTATCTTCAATTTAAAGCACATCTTTTGGCCAAATTTGGGGATTGTATACTTTTTTATATGCCCCAAATACTCGATTGTAATATTTACAATTTTTTAATTCAAAAAATGTTTAATTCAAAAACTACAAATCTTATCGGCATGAGGACATACAGCAACCATCTCATGGGCAATAGACAGCTTTTGACCAAATTTGGGGCTTGTAGCATCTAAGCCCTGGGAGGAGAAGCGATTGCTTTTTTTTGGTCAGAAGCCGGAATAATAATAATAATAATAAGAATAAGTTTAAGTAGCATTACAGTATGTTGGCTTTCTCAAGCCAACATAACTAGAACCTAAAGTTCGTTGACGAACTTTGATGTTGGCTTGAGAAAGCCAACGTGACTGCGCCGGGGACTCAAAGGCAGTTGGCAGGAAGCACAGCGGTTGAGAAGTGGTTGCTAGGCGGTTGCTAAGGTGTAGCTAAGGCATTCCTAGGTAGTTGCTAGGGTGTTCTGAGTGGTTTCTAGGCTGTTGCTAGGGTCCACTGGACTGTTAATCGGAAGGCCTCATTTACATTTTTGATCAAATCGAGAGAGAGAGAGGACTGATTTGTTCAGGTTGTTTAATGCAGATCACTATAGTATAGTTAGTATTTATAGTATATATTATAATCTGAACAAAATTACATTATAATAAACATCATATGAAGAAAAATATTAAATTAAAATACTAATGAAACAATAGCACATACATTTAGTTAATTTGTCTTTTACTTAATCAGTCTTATAATTTTTGCAGTTAATATAGAGTACAGTCAATTTACAGTAATTTGCAGCATTATATATATCGTTATAGTTATATAGTTATATACAGTTTACAGGAAGAAAATCGCATTAAATACAATATTATAGGACGTCTTCATCACGTGGTTAATTCTGACCAATGACGTTGTTCCACCCCACTGGCCACTAACACAATGTTATAATCGTAATATTTAGTTGTCATCACCTGGGTGATTTTATTTTTTTTTTGGTACAGCATAGGCCAAAAGCTTGGCTTTCATTGTCATTATCACAAGTGAGGAGAAGGCTTTTTTGCGGCACAGAATATTCTGTTTTGAAAGAAATATCTGAAGTAAACTTATGTTTTTGCCAACATAAAAGGGGGATTAAGAAATAATCCTTATAACCCTAACCATAAATGTGTGTATGTGTTATATATGTATATATGTATATATGTATGTATATATATACATACATATATACAGTTGAAGTCAGAATTATTAACCCCCTTTTGATTTTTTTTTCCCCTTTTTTAATATTTCCCAAATTTTGTTTAACTGTGCAAGAAAAATTTTCACTGTATGTCTGATAATATTTTTTCTTCTTGAGAAAGTCTTATTTGTTTTATTTCGGCTAGAATAAAAGCAGTTATTAATTATTTAAAAACTATTTTTGGGACACAATTATTTGCCCCTTTAAGCAATTTTTTTTTATAGTCTACAGAACAAACCATCGTTATACAATAACTTGCCTAATTACCCTAACCTGCCTAGTTCACCTTATTAACCTAGTTAAGGCTTTAAATGTCACTTTAAGCTGTATAGAAGTGTCTTGAAAAATATCAAGTCAAATATTATTTACTGTCATCATGGCAAAGATAAAATAAAGAAGTTATTAGAAATGAGTTATTAAAACTATTATGCTTAGAAATGTGCTGAAACAATCTTCCCTCCATTAAACAGAAATTGGGGAAAAAATAAACAGGGGAGCTAATAATTCTGACTTCAACTGTATGTATATATATATATACACACACTTTATTTTCACTGTTTGTAAATAATTGTTCTTAACATTTTTGCTTTAAAACATTATAATACTGTTTGGATTTTCCCCCCATAATAATAAATTGTGAACATTGCAGTGTAAATTGCAATCCAGATGTTACAGAGAGAAATTGATGCAGCAACAGCAGAGCATATTAAGGGGATATAAAAAATCTTCATACATTGTATGTATATATATATATATATTCACTATTTTAAAATACATTTTCTTTGCTGTGTGTTTTTATTGGTTATGATGCTGTTTGGATGTTTTATTTTTGCACAATAAATAAAATGTGATTTAAAAAGTGCAAACATTGTCTTTGTTAGAATTTACACGTGATTATAAAGACGTTCAGGTCCGACCGCACCGAATGGAAAGAAATTGTAGGTTTTGAAGATGGATTATTAGTTTTGTGGCAAGGACATAGCTGTTTTAGTGGGTTAAATACAGATGAAAAATAAAGTTAGAATGATTTTATATTCAATATGTTTATTGTATAATATACGTGAATGTTCGCATGGCTATCATTTTCATTATCACAAGTAGAGGAGTCAGCATGGATAACTCCGGATATCTCCGCCTCTTAAAGGAGCAGTGCCTCTTAAAGGGCCAGTACTAAATTACAAAGGGCTCAAAAATGGTTCTCTGGCGCCATCTCGTGGACACTCTGACAAGCTTTTTGTTTGAATGTTACAAATTTAATATAAAAAAAAATATTTATAGGAAAACTGTTATTTATAATTACACCAAATAAATATGACAATTATCAGTAATTTCAAACACATCTTTTGGCCAAATTTGAGGATTGTATACTTTTTTATATGCCCCAAATACTCGATACAATTTTTTAATAAAAAAAATTTTAATTAAAAAACTACAAATCTTATCGGCATGAGGACATACAGCAACCATCTCATGAGCAGCAGGCAGCTTTTGACCAAATTTGGGGCTTGTAGCATCTAAGCCCTGGGAGGAGAAGCGATTGCTTTTTTTTGGTCAGAAGCCGGAATAATAATAATAATAAGAATAAGTTTAAGTAGCATTACAGTATGTTGGCTTTCTCAAGCCAACATAATAATAAGAATAAGTTTAAGTAGCATTACAGTATGTTGGCTTTCTCAAGCCAACATAATAATAATAAGAATAAGTTTAAGTCGCATTACAGTATGTTGGCTTTCTCAAGCCAACATAATAATGAAAAAATGACAGCAAGCTAGGTTTTAAACTAAACTAGCTTTTAACTTTTTAAATGAAAAACAAACAAAAACAATAAACATAAAGGTCTTAGACTAAAATATAATAACGCCAAAAAGATTTGCCGTAAAATAAGATAAGAACCGATTTACCTGAATAACGATTTCTTCTTCTGTTTTCTTCTGTTCACCACATGCTAGCGTGAAATATTTTGGAAAAAAAAATCCAAACATTGTGGTCATGGCAATATTTCAAATAAAAGCGAGGACACTTGATGATACCGGTAAAGCAAAGAGCTTAGAATGGGGATTATATGCTCTTTGGGTAAGGTAAGTTTGTAGTTGTTTTTTTCCTTTAAAAGCAACAACTTCGATAAGCGGACTTTAAAACATAACAGGAAGAGGGCGCCAGAACCCGTAAAACGAATGCGAGACAGGTAATATTGGCTTTCATGTTTCTCTCTAAATGTCTCGCTTAGGACAATGAAGCAGAAAATGAGTTATGTTTAACTGTGTTTATGTTTAAAATGAATGCTTTAAAAACTCACCTAAATCTTTTTTCATTTATTAATTAATTTTATTTTAAAGTAAACTACAGTAAAGTTAATCTTGATAAAGAGTTGCATTGAAAGAATTGCACAATAAATCAGTAGCCTACATGAAGTTACTGTATCCAGAAATAGCAAAAACGTTATACAGGCACTGCTTGAGAAGATGAAGACCATCAGAAGTTATGGTAAATATTAGATATGGAAATGATAAACATTCCAAGCAATTCTTTTCTTTGTTTTATTCACAGACACGTGTTTGTCATGTAGATGGTGATAATGTATCATTGTGTTGTCAAGGTCATTTTAACAGATTTCCGATTTTGAAGAGAAATACTGGAAAGAACACGTGGACTAAGGCCCCGTTAACACTAGTGCGTTTTAGTTTTAAAATGGCGTTTTAGAATGAAAACGATCCGCTTCCACAGCGTCCACACTTATTGTGCGTTATACTTTCATAATGGCTATTATTGATTATTAAAACTGACATTCAGCAAAGCAGAGGATACGTTTCGTATTTTCAAGGAAAATGAAAAGAGGCAGTGTTGTTAGGCTCCGTTTTATTATAAATTTGCATACAGTGAAGATGCAGCACGACACCTCAGCATTTCTGCTGTCTGTTAAGTTGTTCATATCAAAATGAAAATTCCTTCAAAGTTCCTTAAATCATGTTTTCATTTTATTGTTGAGAAAGTGAAACAACGTAGCCAGGATGATGTGAATAAGGTTATAAAGTACACTGTTCCCTTTGAAGATTTACCGGACATGTCCTCGAGGCTCTGTTTTCCATATCAAACTTGCGAAGTCTGAACTTACAGGGAGAGAATGCAGGACTGAACTGTGTGTGTTAGGCTATTTAATATTGAGGAAAAGCCCCAATCACAGCACCGCCTCCGTTTTCAGATGTCTCCGTTTTCCTCCATCCACACTGAGACGGAGCAGCAGCGTTTAAAGCTTCGATTGCAGTGAGAAAGCAAACGATCCGAGCGCCGTTATATCACTGTGTTTTATGGATATGTATACGGCTATATGAAGAGAGAAGTATGAGTAGGGCGGAAAGTTTCACAAGTCTCCGGATGCCCACAAACGAGTGATGGTCTCCAGGTAATCTCGCGTCTCCTTCCGGTCCTCAAATAGGCTACTTCAAACACTCTTCCTACCCCTCCCCACCGCATCTCTCCTCACTCTTCAGGCACGTCACACGCACCTTGTCAAACACCACCAAACCACCATCTCTCCTGACAGCTGAGCAGTACTCTGCAAAATAAACCCCGACACTGACTAATGTGAGGAGAGTTTACTCACACGTGAATTGTTTTAGCTCTTTTGGTCCGATTAGAAACTTTGCAGTGTGAAAGCGAACCGCTCTAAGAGCAAAGAGCAACAATGTAACAATTGTTATCTCTGTTTCAGAACAACTAAACCGATTCACAGGTGTCAAAGCACCTTTAGAATGAAAACGGCCTCTCCAGCGTTTTCGAAACGCTCCGTTTTCAGCGCTCGAAAACTCCGGCGAATTGTGGACGGATGGGGTAACCGTAGCAAAACTTGTGTTTTCAAACTAAAATGCATTAGTGTAAACGGGGCCTAAAGCTGAAGAGCAAAGCGCCATCTACAGTTACAAGATTAGATTTACTCTAGGATCTAGGAGTGTCCTAATTCCGTTTTTTATTATTTGGCGTTGACTGCATCACCTGTAGCTACAATCTTTAGCTAGCTAGTTTTCATGTCATTTGGATATTAGAACTTCTTGTAACACCATGGACTGTTAAAGCACACAAATATTTATAACAGATTAATTTTGTCACCTTTTTTTGTGACTTGTCTGATTTGTTTTAAGAAGTATGGCGTAGATTAGGGGTGTCAAATTTAGTTCAAAGAAGACAAAAGGACTCCAGTTTGATCAGGTGTGGCTGAAACTCAACTGCGCAGAGCTCCGTCTCTTCAGGAACTGAGTCGCCTGTGGCCTAGATTATAAATTTGCTTTCACTTTCTTATTCTTTCAACCTCAACCCCTTCCTTGGTTAAGTGTATAGCGTTAAGGTGATCAACCTTTGTTCAGTAAGATTTCTTGGAACAACTGTAGGCTACTCAAGATATAAGGTAAGACAAATTTAACAAACAGGTCAAGAGAATTTGGTAACACTTCACAATAACAGTACATGAGTAATGATGCATTAATATGTAAACTAAACATTATTTTATTATGAATTAATGATGAGTTAAGGAATGCACTAATCATGAATTAACTTTACTTAAATATGAGTCACATAAATTCATATGTAAATAACGACTACTTTAATTACTTGTTAGTACATGTTGTTAATTAATGTATTTATTTAAGTCTAAGCTAAATGTAACCAATATGAACTCATGAGCTGTTAATGCATAGTTATGTCATGACTTTACTTGGAGGGGCACATCACTATTAACTCATCCTAAACTACTGATTACCTCCTGTTCATGTTAATGTTGACAGACCACTTTTCTATTGTTATTCAGTGTAAACTCACTAGTTGGACGTGCATAAGGAGTTCATGAGTAGTTAAGAATAGGTTAATGATGATGTGCCCCCCCAGTAAAGTCACAACATAATTATACATAACATATCATAAGTTCATCATGGTTAAATTAAGCATAAACTAATGTGGTAATTAATACATTAATTAACAAACAATCATGTCCTAACAAGTAATTAAGGTAGCCGTCATTCACACATGAACTCATGTGACTCAAGTTAAAGTTAATTCATGATTAGTGCAGACCTTAACTCATCATTATTCATAATAAACTAATGTTTAGTTTACATATTAATACATCATTATTCATGTTCTGTTATTGTAAAGTGTTACCGAGAATTTATTGATTTGCAGACCATTATAGTACTAACTTTGAGAATCGCTTTTGTCACAGGCCTGTATTGTTTTTAATAATTACCATCTCTTGTTTTCTTAACAGCGAACGTTTTTTATCCCTTCACTTCAGAATATAATGTTGAGTAGAAGTAAGTCACATATTTGTTATAATCATGCTATTATTAATATATATTTTTATTATTATCGACTTGTCAGCCAGCAATAATTCAACTGAAACATAAAGCTGTTACAATTTTCAAACTCATGATATTCAAAACCTGTTGACTTTCTTTCATCCCTGGAGAAAAGTCATTTTTATATCCCCACACACTGAAACTGAATGGCTTTTGTGAGTAGCCTATGTACATAAGTCAGCCAGTCAGTCAGTGGTATAACAACACATACATCAGTATGATGTAGGACTGAATTTTATTGTTGGATGAATTATCCATAAAAGCAGTAGGCTTGTATAATACAATCCATATTGCAAGGGGTTGCTGTTTGACGAAAAGCTGCATCTGGATTATATTATCATATCAGCATAAAATGCAAGTTGCTCACAGATTGACTACCTGTCATTATCTATTTATGATGTTTAACAGGGTGTGTACTGAAAATTGTTTTCATTCTTTTAAACTTAGCAAACATAATATTTAAAACACAGTTTTGAAGGGTTTATTTTTTAAGACTGTTTCTTAGAAGATTGAGACTAACCTGTATATTTTTTTTCTTCTTTACAGTTTTTTATACAATCGTAACACCTAAAAATGTGGAACAAACAGCTCAAGAATTCAAGAAAAATCTAAAGAAGAAGATAAAAAATGTTAGATTAAAAAACCCTGAGGAGGGACATCGCAAAAAGACAAGAGAAACGCCCAGTGATGTTTACCTGGCTTTCTGTCCAGTAGTTTCTGACACTAAAACTAACATTGATGCAACACTCAAGAATATTAAAGGTAAAAAATGTCTTTGCGAATATATTACATTAGTAGTAATTAAAAACGGAAATGTTTTTTTTTTCATATGTACTGCTACATATAGGGCCTACTCACAATCGTTTTTTATATTTTTGTCTATAGACGATAAGCCGACCATTTTAGTGGTGCTTCATCAAACACTTGAGAAGGAGGCTGTTGTGTCAAAAAGCAGTACATTTGTGGAAAGGGAGAATATGCTTGTTCTTGACTGTCTGTTCTACGAGGGTAAAGGCTTGCTTGCCTGTAAAAAAAATGAGGAGGCTTATAAAGAAGCTGCAGTGTGGATAAAATCAAATGTATGTTCTCATTTCAGTATTACATGTCAGCTTTTTTATGTCAGCTAGATTTTATTGATTTACTGTTCATAACTTTCCTACATATATTCATATATTCCTTTCGACGTTTGCTTATGAGCACCACCTAGTTTGTGAAAAGTTTTATGATTCTGCACCATTAATTTTGATAACATGCTGATAGTGTTCTTCTATTTTTTTTTTTTTTTTTTACTCGCTAGAAAAAATTGCTGCAGCAACGTAGGAACCGTTCTTCAAAGAAAAACCAAAAAGTAGCTGATGACAATTCAAGCCGCAAGCAGGACACATCCTCCCCAGATGTCCGGTCTAGTAGAAATGATCATAGTAAGTAAATGAGTATACTTTGTTTAAATTAGATATCTTATTACTTATGCCAAATTAGCTAACTGTTCAAGGTTTAACACTTAATTATCCACAGATAGAGATGAACGCAAAAAACGTGATGCCTCCAAGAAAAAAACGAAAACTTGTGTTTTTCTCTGAACAGTGGAATTGATCACATCAGGCAAGCAACGCAAAATGCGACAAACTTTAAAAT